TTTGTATCCTGAAACCTTGCTGAACTCTTTCATCGCTCTAATAGATTTTGTGTGTGCGTATATTCCTTAGGATTGTCTGTATATAATATCATCTCATTTGCAAATAGAGATAATTTTATTTCTTCCTTTCCAACCTGGATGCCTTTTATTTCTTTTTCTTGCCTAATTGCTCTGGCTAGAATTTCCAGTACAATATTGACTAGAAAGAGGGTGTTTTTATTTGTTCCTGAGTGTAGAGGGAAAGCTTTCTGTCGTTCAGTGTTCAGCATGATGTTAGCTGTGGGTTTTTTATAAATGTCTTTTATTGTTGAGGAAGTTCCCTTCCAGTCCTAGTTTGTTGTGTGTTTTCGTCATGAAAGGATGTTGGATTTTGTCAAAGGCTTTTTCTATATCAATTGAGAAACATTTTTTTTCCTTCATTATATTAATGTGGTGTATTATTACATTGACTGACTTTTTGTACGTTGAACCACCCTTACATTCCTGAGATAAATCCCACTTGGTCAAGGTGTATAATTCTTTTAATATGCTGCTGGTTTTGGTTTGCTAGTATTTTGTTGAAGTTTTCTGTGTCTGTATTTATATGGGATATTGGTCTATAGTTTTGTTTTCTTCTGATGCTTTTGTCTGGCTTTTGTGTCAGGGTAATGTGATAGAGTGAGTTGCCTCCTCTTCTTGGGAAGAGTTCGAGAAGAATTGGTATCAATTCTTTAAATGTTTGGTAGAATTCACCAGTGAAGCCATCTGGTCTTGGGCTTTTCTTGGGTGTTTTTGATTATAGATTCAACCTCTACTTGCTATAGGGTCTATTCATGTTTTGTGTTTTCTTTTTGGGTCAGTTTTGGTAGTTTGTGTGTTTCTAGGTATTTGTCCATTTTATTTAGCTTATCTAATTTGTTGGAATACAATTGTTCATAGTATTCTTTTATATTCCTTTTTATTTCTATAAGGTCCATAGAAATATCCTTACTTTCATTTCTGATTTTAGTAATTTGAGTCTTTTCTCTTTTTTTCTTAGTCTAGCTAAAGGTTTGTCAATGTTGTTTATCATTTTAAAGACCCAACTCTTGGCTTCGCTTATTTTCTCTGTTCATATTGGATTTTAAGCAGTGCTCTGAGTCCTGGGGTTAGCCTGTAGGTATTTTCAAAGCTCAGCAATGTCATGTGGTATAGTGGAAAAGGTCTATACTTGGGTACTCAGTCACTGGTTCAAATCTCAGCTTTGGCATTTACTAGCGGTGAATCTTCAGCAAGTCACTTAAACTCTCTTAACTGGTTTCATTATTAGTAAAATGGAGATAATATCTACCTTTAAGTCATTGTGAGGATTAAATGAGATCATTTAATGTCTGGCCCACTTGAAACTTGTGCTGCTTATTCTACTTGTTGAATAGGATCTGCTCTACTTTTAAATGACTTTAAGGTCTTTCATTGCCCCATGGTAAGCCAGGAGTTCGAAGGACTCTGAACACCTGCTTCTGGGATTTGAATCCTCCTCACTCCCAAAGGGTCCATATGTTCTAATCCCCTCAGCAGGTTGCGAGGTTACCACTTAAAGGGACGTGGTTCATTCGTGTTCTCTGAAGCTTGAGTAACTAAAGACCCTTTCCTGAGAAACTTCCTCTAAGTATGAGTCGAGCCAAAATGGATAAAAACAACAGAAGTAAATAATCCTCTCAAAACATGCTTCCTTTGATCTGGTTATCACTTCAAATAATCTGTGTATTCTGTGACAATAGACAGACCCTTCTTTTTTAGAATACCTAACATTTATTGGAAAATAATATCCATCAATGTAATCATTCCATTATTTAAGCAATTACTATTTTCTAGAACCCATAGTCTTTGGTCTTTTTTCTTTACACATTCCAGTGATTAAAGAAAAAGCCACTAAACTTTTCTCAAATTCTGTGTTTTTGAATTTTCTCTATTTTCACCAGTTCCTTGAGATTTAATAATTTTCTTCACCTTCCTTTATGAAAAGGACGATTTGAATGACTTTTGCTAGCTGCTGCCTCAGTTTTCTGAATTTTTAAACATTCTTGGTCTGTAACATTTTTTTTTTTGGCTGTCTTAAATAGCTGACATAGATCTATTCAGATCGTAAGCCTGTGGTTAAATCCCCTTGAGAAGTGTATCTGGGGCATTAGTTATCTTCTGTTGATCTCATAGTGTTATTAGAGGTGCCAACTTTGTTTTTTCTGTTTATCAAATGTGTCATTGAATTCACTGTTAATATTTTTGGTACAGTATGATTTCTCATGCTTTATTTGTGCAATAGTCTAGGAATATGGCTTTTTTCTCATTATAGCCTTGTTTTTTTCCTAAATTGTATGTACTTTAAACAGGCAACAGTGGTATTTTCAGCTTAAACTTTTCCTACATGAAACATATTTTTAAAAATTTGCACTGAATGTATTCATTTAATAAGTTTGTATTTATTAAATATTATGTAGACTAGTAGTAGAAATATGCAAGCTATATATGTAATTTGAAATTTTCTAATAGTATCATTTTAATAAGTAAAAGAAAAGATGAAATTAATTTTAATAATGTTTTATTTAACTGAGTATATCCAAAATATCATCATTTCCACATTTGTTCAATATAAAAAAACATTAACAAGATATTTTACATCTAGTGTGTATTTTACATTTATAGTGCATCTCAATTTACTGCAAAATTTTCATTGGAAATACTTGATCTGTATTTAGATTTCATAAACATTATAATTGGAAAAGTAAATTCATATATTCAAGTTGTTTCAAGGAAGTTTTCCAGTAACTGATCTAAGTATTAGGTCTTAAATATAAATTTTTTTTTTTTTGAGGCAGGGTCTCGCGCTTGCCTGGGGCTGGAGTGCAGTGGCATGATCGTAGCTCACTGCAACCTCAAATGCCTGGGCGCGAGTGATCCTCCTGCCTCAGCCTCCCCAGTAGCTGGGACTGCAGGCATACACCACCATGCCTGACTAATTTTTCTATTTTTTGGTGGAGACGGGGTTTTGTTCTTGCTCAGGCTGGTCTCGAACTCCTGAGCTCAAGCAATCTTCCCACCTCAGCCTCCCAGAGTGCTAGGCATGAGCCACTGTGACTGACCTTAAATTTAAATTTAAATTAATTAAAGTTAAATAAAATTAAAAATTCAGTTCCTTTGTCACACTAGTCACATTTCAAGTGCTCATTAGTCACATGTACGTAGTAACTACAATATCAGACAGTGCATGTATTCTAATCCTAATCCCAGGTAACCTAATTTTCTGATACTAGGGCATGGCTACACTATGTTGCCATTAAGGGGTTTTTTTGGTTCTAAAAGTCAAAAATATCAGCTTTATCTTTATTCTGGTTTCCCATGCTATTTTTGTCCAAACCTCTTAGGGTACTTTATTGCTCCCTAGCAGCTTCTGTGCTGACAGATGATTGGTTTCTTGTTTTCATTTGCTCTGCTATAATCGATCCTGGAACTTGCCAGGGATTCTAGCACTTGAGTTGCTAGGGAGTTGCAGGGAGTACATGTGAGTGTTTGGAGAAGAGGAAATTCTACCGTCTCGTGGTGGAATTGATATGACGCTTTTTCAGAGGCTCAGAAAGACGATATTTGGCAATTTGCTAGTAGTCAAGGACTATGCCCTGCCACTTGTTTTAATATGGAGGAGAACATGGGATAAGGTGGGTCTTTTTTGGGCAGTTGGGCAGGTTCAGTTTGCAGTTGCAATTTTCTGGTTGACTCTTGTCATGGGACAGAAAGTCCATGCGTATTAATCAGGGTTTTTCAGAGAAATAGAACCAATAGGAGAGAGAAAGAGAGAAATTTTGAGAGAGATTTATTATAAAGTATTAGCTCATGCAATTATGGAAAAGTCCCATTATCCCATTATCTGCCATCTGCAAGCTGGAGACCCAGGAAAGCTGGTGGTATAGTTGTAGGCCTGACAGCCAGAGAGCCATTGTGTAGATTCCAACCTGAGTCTGAATTCTTGAGAACCAGAAGTGCTAAGGACAGAGAAGATCTATGTCCCAGCTAACCAGCTTGGCAGAGAGTGAATTCAACCACCTTTTTTTTTTTTTGGAAAAGGGTCTTGCTCTGTTGCCCGGGATAGAGTTGGCGGCATCATTAAAGCTCACTGCAACCTCAAACTCCCGGGCTTGGCTCAAGAGATCCTCCTGCCTCAGCCTCATGAGTAGCTGAGACTACAGGCACATGCCACTGCCCCTGGCTAATTTTTCTAATTTTAGTAGAGACGGGATCTCATTCTTGCTCAGGCTGGTCTCTAATTCTTGACCTCAAGTGATCCTCCCACCTCAGCTTCCCAGAGTGGTAGGATTACAGGCATGGGCCTCTACACCCAGCCTCAACCATCTTTTTGTTCTTTTCTGGCCCATAATGGACTGGATGCCTACCTACACTGGGGAGGGCAGTCTGCTGTACTCAATCTACAAATTTAAATGCTAATCTCTTCTGGAGACACCCTCACAGACACACCCAGAAATAATGTTTAACCACGTATTTGGGCATCCTATGGCTTAGTCAGGTTGACACATAAAATTAACCATCATACCAAGGTTGTCAGATTTTTCAAGAGAAGCCCAGAAATCTAGATTTTTACATTAATTCTTCCAATTTTCAAATGTTAGCACCTAATTCAATTTTATTTTAAAACACTCTAAGTGACAAACAGACCATGTCTGCAGGGTGGGTCTGATCCTTGGGTCACCAATTTATAATCTCTGGTCTAATATATACTGCTAACTGTCATTATTGGACACACAGGGCTATTGGGCAAAGAACATAAATGAATGAAAAATTCCCAGCAGTGATGGTTGCTTTATATCATCCTGCCTTTCCTCTCTTGCACTCCCCTTTGGGAGCACGCTCAATGTATCTGAGTTGGTATAGATAGATGGTAGAAGCAGATGGTCACTGCTTATAGTTTATATACTGTAAGAATCAGGTCTGCCACTGAGTGAAGTGGTGATTGTACTTTTCTTCTATATTAGGACAGGTAGGAGAAAGAATATTAATAGCATTTTAATTTTTTTACTTGCTATGTAAAATATACAATTTATTATGTATGGTACTGTGTATTAATGGATATTTTACCACATATTTACTTTTTAAATTTTTACTATGTAGCAACAACTGCTTTGTATGTATTAACTGATTTAGTGCTTTGTATGTATTAACTGATTTAGTACTACTCTATGAGGTAAGTACTGTTATTATCAACTCCATTTTACAGGTGAGGAAGTTGAGCATAGAGAAATTAAATACCTTATTGAAGATTATAAGCAGGAAGTCGTAGAACCAGAATTTGAACCCTAGCAGTTTGGCTCTAGAGATGTGTTCTTTCTCTTGTTAGTCTCCCTTCTCTCCGAATCCCCGTGTTACTATTCTCTATTTTCCCACACACCTTACTGATCACCTTCCCTGTGGCCTGGCACTGAGAGGCAAGCACTGCAAAACATGCACAGCCTTGGGTACAGTCCTTGTCTCCAGTAGTAACTGCATAGTCGATGATGCTTTGGCTTTTCCTGTATAGAAATGGAAGTGTTAGTGATCACAGATATAATAATGAAAGGACCTGAATTTCTTTCGTTTTTCTAAATAAAATAATTAGAAATATTTCTAATAAACATTTTATTTAGAAAAGTTAACCTTCAGACAAGTTGTAAGAATAGTACAATGAACACATGTATACTATCCCTAGAATTACCAATTACATTTTGCCACATTTGCTTCTTCTCTATAAACATAGCAATCTGTCATTGGTAAAATATTATTTTATTTTTGGGGCAGGGTCTCACTCTGTCACCCAGGCTGGAGTACAGTGGCATGGTTATAGCTCACTGCAGCCTTAGACCCCTGGGCTCAAGTGATCCTCCTGTCTCAGCCTCCCAAGTAGCTAGAACTATAGGCATTTTTTTTCTTTAAGAGATAGGATCTCACTATGTTGCCCAGGCTGGTCTTAAACTCCTGGCCTCACGCAATCCTCCTGCATCGGCCTCCAATGTGCTGGGATTACAAGTGTGTGCCACCATGCCCAGCCTAAAATATTATTATCTAATTTACAGTCCCTATGCAGGTTTTCCCGTTGTTCCAATTTTGTCCTTTATAGTGGCTTTTTGCTTTTCTATCCAGGATCCAATCAAAGATTACATTTAGTTGTCATATTTCTTTAGTATACTTTAATCTACAGGCATTTCTCCGACTTTTTTTTCTTTCATGACATTGACATTTTTAAATATTCCAGATTGGTTGTTTTGCAGTTACCCATTGCACCACCGGCCCCATCCTATTTTGCAGCTATCCTTAGGCTTAATTGTTATCCTTATCTGATTTTTCCACATTTAGATTGAAATTTTTAAAAATTTGCAGGCATATTGCTTAGTGAAGTTGTGTCCTTCTCAGTGTATCACATTTGGAAGTACATGATGTCATTATTTTGCATTATTGGTGATGGCAAGTTTGATCATATGGTTAAGATAGTATTCACCAGATTGCTTCATTGCACAGGTACCTTTTCCCCTTTGTTATAAGCATTCTCTGGCATGATATTTTGAGATGTATGAGTATCCTATTCCCTAATAGTCTCTACCTATTGGTATCCATTGATTCTTTTCTGAATCACTTCATTCTTATGGTTTTTATAAAGTGGTGATTTTCTAATTCTGTCTTTCTTCTACATTTATTAGCTAGACTTTTTGGAATTAAGAGCTTTCTTTTCTTTGGTGGACAGAATAATAGTCCCCCCAAAGATGTCCACCTCCTAATTCCCAGAACCTGTGAATATGTTACCTTCATGGGCAAAAGGGGAATTAAAGTTATAGATGGAATTAGGTTGCTAATCAACTGACCTTAAGTAGATTGTCCTGGATTATCCACGTGGGCCCAATATAATCACAAGGGTTCTTTAAAATGGAAGAAGGAGGTAGAAGAGGTCAGAGTGTTGTGACATTAGAGGACTAGACCCACTGTTGCTGGCTTCAAAGATGGAGGAAGGGACCATAATCCACAAGGGAGGGAATGGGGGTGGCCACTAGAAACTGGAAAAGGAAGGAAACAAATCTTACCCAGGGCCTACAAAAAGCAACAAAGCCCTGCCAATGCCTTGATTGTAGCCTGGTGAGACCCGTGTTAGACTTCTGACCTACAGATCTGTAAAACAATTAAATTTGTGTTTAAACTTCCAAGTGTGGTGATTTGTTACAGCAGCAAAAGAAAACAGTATATGTTCTTACCTCGTTATCAGTGTGGATTCATGGATTCTTTTGTGAATGCATTATAATCTATCTCTGTCACTATTATTTTTCTTTTCTTTTTTTTTTGAGACAGGGTCTTACTCAGTTAGTTCCCAGGCTAGAGTGCAGTGCCATCATCATAGCTCACTGCAGCCTCAAACTCCTGGGCTTGGCTCAAGCGATCTTCCTGCCTCAGCCTCCCAAGTGGCTGGAACTACAGGCACATGCCACCATGTCCAGCTAATTTTTTTCTATTTTTCGTAGAGATGGGGTCTTGCTCTTGCTCAGGCTGGTCTCAAACTCCTGATCTCAAGCAGGCTTTCTGCTTCGGCCTTCCAAAGTGCTAGGATTACAGGCGTGAGCCACTGCGCCCACCTCACTATTGATTTTTTGTTTAGATTGTCTTGAATTTGGCCATTGGGAGTCCCTTCATAGTCTTTGTGACATGTCCCTAATCAGTTTTTGAGCATTTTTCTTCTTTTTTGGCATAGTAAGATATACCAGGCCTATTTTGTGTTGCAGTGAGCTATGATCACACCACTGAGCTCTAGCTCAGGTGACAGAGCAAGACCCTGTCTCAAAAAAAAAAAAAAGTAGTGAAAACAAAGATGTAATTTTTCTCCCTGTCCACATTTAGTGAACCCCAACAAGTTTCAGGTTAAGAACCCTTGGTCCAAAATCATCCTCAGCTTATTTATATAAGTTTTAAGAGTAGCAGTATAATGTTATTGAGTATAATTAAGCCACCATCTTACAGTTTGTTTCTGTTTTTATGGGCAACTTTCTGGTTACTGAATTTGATTCTGTGTTTTTCTTTAGAACGTTATCATTTGTCTTATAAGATTGTGCGAACGGATAGTCGCCTGGTACGCAGCATTCTGACAGCCCATGGATTTCATGAAGTAAGCTTATTTTTACTACCTCATCTGATCTGCTCAAAAGCTGAAAATCATAGCCACCTAACTGACTACACCAGTTAACAGGGCCAGCTCTAGAAAGTACATGGGACCAATCCTTAGTGATGATGCAGAACTCGGATTGAATTACTGAGTGGCTTTACCAGTTTCTCCTTGCAATACATGGAAAACATTTCCACAGGATTTAAAAAAATTTTTTTTTTTTTTGCTATGTTTTTGGGCTTGGGCTACAGGCAGAGTTTTCCATAAGAAATGGTTTGATACCAATTAAGTTTCTTTGATTGCAAGCAACAGAAACGAACTCTGCCTAACTTAAACCAAAAAGGATTTGTAGGAAAGGTGTGCAGAGGGGGCTAACAGAATCAGAGAAAAAGCTGAAAAGGCAGGCCTTTGGAAGGAGAGAGACCAGGACAGTCCCATGGATCTAGGAACAGGAATCTTCAGGATCATCTCCTCAGGGCACTGCCGTGGAAATGGCTGGACTCCATTCATTGTCCTTGTGCCTTTCTTTGCTCAAGAATCACATTCTGGAGAACAAATGACTGGCCTGGCTTTGGTCATGGATCCACTCCTTGGAGGAAGGGAAGGGGAGGGCTGGTTAAAGGGCAGGTCTTTTAAAACCAAGGAGTACATCATTCCCCAAAGAAAATTGGAAGATTGGGATGTTGTCATTAAAAGGGATAGGCAAAAATGCTGGAGAGACTTCCGCTATAGATATTTTGAGAGAATTGATAAAAGTCTGGTTGCTAGTTCCTTATCCTCAGTTGAGATCTGTAGGAGACATTTTGAGGAAGTTCTGATACCAGTTTGTGTTGTGTCTTATTGCTGTTTTATCTCCAGCACTTAACATCATGCCTATCATGTTATAGACACAGAGTACATAATTGTTGAATGAATGGACAAATGAATTCTAATGAATGAAGTAATGAATTCTAAGTTGTGTGCTACTGTAAGTTTTTATTATAGGACTAGACCCACTTTTATTATAGTCCTGACCAACACTTTATACCCAGTATCTACAAAGTCATAAGGACAGTCTGAAAGAGGAGTTTTGGGTTTGGGTCCTCATCTTATACTTCAATGTTGCAAAAATATTAAGAGACATCATGGATTTCTATAGAGGAGTTAATTTATTTTACTTTCTGCATCTAGGATTTGCCTGACTCTCCTATTCCTTAAACTTGATTGTCCCTGGCTTTTGTGATACTCTGCTTTTGTCTCACTTGGCTCACATACTAACTGTGCCACCCCCGTGGGTGCTCTGTGGATGAAAAATCACTATGGACTGTGTGCCATTGCTCTTCCTGATGTGTTTTTGCCTTCTTGTGTATCTACCCTTAGGTTCACCCAAGCAGCACTGACTATAATCTAATGTGGACAGGATCCCACCTGAAGCCCTTCTTACTTCGCACCCTCTCTGAAGCACAAAAGGTTAATCATTTTCCCAGGTAATGCTCTTGTAGCTGCTTTGTTCTATTTAAAGGTACCTGACATTGGGGCATGTAGCCAGCAAAGATAATTAATATTCCTAAAAGAAGAAGAAGTTTGTGATATAGGGCAGCAGTCTGAAATCAAACTGATGTATTCATATCCCTGAGCATGTATGAACACTTTCCAAGGGCTATGTAGACATGGATGGTTTTAGAGGAGACAGTTTCTGGTTCTCTTTCCTAAAATTGAGCTTTATGAGATCACCTCATGAGAATTGGTTCCCCTTTCTCACCTCCCTTTCATAGTTACTGTTTTTCACCTTTATAAAAGAATGGCCCTCCTAGAACCTTTTTTTTCTTTTTTCTTTTCCCCTTTGGCCACTAGGAAAAACCACCTAGCCTCTCAATCTAATGTGTTATCCTATCCTGGTGTAGAAATTTTCAGGATTCCAAAGAAAAGTATAAAAAAATTGGTGTCAAATTGAATTCTAGTAACAGAATAACAAATCCTTTTTGCATGATGGTGGTTTCCATTTCTTTGTTTCTAAAGATTTGAAGGATAACATCTAATTATCAGCTGATAGACCATTATACATAATTTTTAAAGTTTTAGAAATTTTTTATTTTTTGTAGGAACAGGGTCCTGCTATGTTGCCTAGTCTGGTCTTGATCTCCTGGGCTCGAGTGATCCTCCTGCCTAGGTCTCCAAAAATGCTGGGATTACAGGTGTGAGCCACTGCTCCTGGCTTAAACATAATTTTTAATAACAGATCATTTTGTGATTTTTGACATGTAATTAGGAAAGAGTTCAAAGAATTGAATGTCATTGCTATAGAAAACTCCTTCTAGTTGCATTTATTGATGGCAGCCTAGAGAGGCAGTATTATTACCTAGTGGCTAGAAGCCAATTACCTGGGCCCAGGTCCCAGCTCTGCTGAGTGACCTTGGGCAAGTGACCTTTATGGATGTCAGTTTCCTCGTTGGAAAAAAGAAGGTATTAATGGCACGTACATCATAGGGCTGTTGTAATATATCAAAATGTAAAGTGCTTAGAACAGTGCCTGCCACATAGTACACACTGTATATATTAGCTATTATTTATGTGAACAAGATTTCTTAGGGTGTACAACTATGAAAAAGAAAATAGGAAAAATGTTAATGCTGGAACCCCACTTTATTCTAGCAGCATTCAACCGTGGAGAAATACATGACCTAATGGAGAGAGAGGGAAGCTAGTCTCACCTATGTAATGAAGAGATACAAATCCAATAAAATAATTTTTATTTGGTCAGTGATTACATTTTATTTCCAGGACTTAAACCCAAGTTACTCTCTCATGCTAACTAGCTTATTTTCAGTTACCTCATATGCTTTTCTGCTTATTTTCATGAAATGATGGCTGTTTCTTGATTTTTTAATTCTATGGTCTTACACCCACTCAATGTGTATAAAAACTGACTTGCGCTGTCTCTGTTACTGTGTATTTCGAGTCTTTGTAGCAAATCCTGGTTTTATTTTATGTCTGAACTCCATTGACAGAAAATAATTTAAACCTTATTTTTTTCCTTAATGCCTAGAAGATACAGATTTGGTTTTCTAAATGTATTACTGGCGGCTTGAGGTAAATCAGATGCGTCTATTTTAAATAGATATTGAAGCAGTATTTGAAATAGCCCATACTAGAGTCTATATTCTTAATTCATGTTCATAGTATATTATTTATTTCCGTAGTTTTTGAAGTATTCCTGTAGATGTATAGGAATTCCATCTCAATTTGGAGTCAGTAATAACAAATTCCAACCTATATTTTCCTTGACTAATCTTTGAATGTGTTATACTTGTAAGTTTGAGAACATTAGTGATCAATTTTCTAATGGCAGTATACTTTGTGGCTTCTGCTGCTATATCTCTCCTATTTCAATCCAAAGACTTCTAACTCACATGCAAAAGAAATTCAAGCACTTTAATATTTTCAATGATACCGTGAACTCTTTCTTAACATTATTTTGTTAACTTTTAATTTTAAATAATTTTAGACTTATAGAAAAGTTGCAGAAGTAATATAGAGTTCCTGTATGTCCTTTACTCAGTTCTCCTAGTGTTAATATCTGATATAACTGTAGTATAATTGTCAAAACTAAGAAATTAACATTGGTATTCTACTACCAACTAACCTACAGACTTTATTCTTATTTTGCTACTTTTTCTACTAATGTCCTCTTCTGTTCCAGGATCCCACATTGCATTTAGTTGTCATGTCTCTTTAGTCTCCTCTGATATGTGACAATCCTTTAATTTTTTTCGTCTTCTAGTAAAATTTCTATTTTTGTGTGTAATACATTTTAATCAAAATTGAGAGTATTTATGGTGTTTTGATGAATCGTATACTACAATTCTTGGCAGTGATAATCAGTCCAGTGTGTGTGGGGGTGTGTGTGTGTATACATTTTTTTTTAATGGTTACAACCTTATGCTCACAGGAAATTAAAAAATATGATGTATCAATTCCTATGTATATTTTTGCTATAGAGAAGGTATGATATGATGTAAAAGACAAGCATTAAATACGTTCTGTTAGACTAAATACATTCTTTGGGGAAAATGGAGAGGAAGAATTAAAACAAGGGTGACTGGGGGATAGTGTCTAGGTAAAGATCTGATGGAAGCTTCTGCGAATCTTCTGTACTTAACCTGAGTGGTGGTTACGCAGGTATGTTCACTGTGTAAAAACTCATTATGCTCCACACATGTAATGTGTGTACCTTTCTGTATATATGTTAACTTCAGTAAAAAACATTTAAAAATGGAAATTTTGCTGAAAAAAATGAGCTTTTTCTCTAATTATTTTTAAAATGTTATGGGAGGTATTGAATTCTGATGTTATTTAGGTTCCATCGAATATACTTACATGTGGTGTTATAGTTTTATTTTAAAATAATGTTTACCATTCTTCAGATTCTTTGGAACAATTTAAAATTTATGATGAAAAATCTTAGATGTCAACTTAAATATGCAAGAGGATATATAGTTTCCTAAAATTTGTGTACCAAGCAAAAAAGTGTGAGGACCACTGATACTGGGCATGTGTAGGAGAGTAAGTTCTTTTTCATACCCTCTGGTTCAGTGTTTCTAGTTCCCTAATGATAAGAATTACCTGGGGTACTTTAAAATACACATTCTCAGGTCCCATTGCAGATTTGTGGAAATCACCATCTTCAAAGGTGTATATTTAAGAAACACCTTTTAGGTACTTTACCTTTCTAGGTAAATATACACCTAGAAAGTTATATATTTAAAAAGCAATGGTGATTTGTAACATGGAAGTTTGGAAATTACTGTTGTAGATTAAATCAGTGATGTAGTGTGGGCCCTGGACCATTGGTACCTGAATCACCTGGGGTACTTGTTTCAAATGCAGAGTCCTGGGCTTCATCCCAGTATTTTGAAAGATGGAACCCAGGAAAATACATTTTTAAGGTGCTCTCCAGGTGATTCTTATGTACACTAAAATTTGAGTACCTCTGCTCTAGATTTCTGAAGAGGGAAGTGGGTAAGAAAGAAGTGTTTGATACCTAAATTTGACAAGGCAGTCTTTGAAATCACAGTAAAACATCTGAACTGAGGAACAGGTGGAATAAATTTTTAATGGTTACAACAAAGATTTTTAGATGGTTTTTAAGCAGTGGAACAAATCATAGACTTGTGAGTCCAGTTGAAGCTAACTGAAGTGCATTTTTGTAGTACTGTACACAAGAATATACCCTCGATATAGGTAGCAACTATTACCTTGATTTTAAGGTAATCATTTCCTTGCCTTTCTTTATAATTTTACCTCTGCAGTATCCATCTCTTGATGATGTAGTTAAATTCCCAATGGGGTTTCTAACTTGAAACTTTAATGGGATCATTATAGTCTAAAATTAAGGTCTATCTAAGGCCTTATGCAGGAGGGACATATCAGACCCATGGTATTAGGTCATTACATATGAAATGTCCGATTTTGAATCAGCAGTTTAGTTTATTATATCTCAAACAGGAAGCATTATAATTAATCAAAGTATGTGCCTAAGCTATCGACACAGTTTTGCCATCTTAACTGTAGCTTGTTTATACCAGCAGTAAAGAAGCCTGGAGAGTGAGTGGTGATGAAACATGAAAGGCATTTTCTGCAGCTTGTTGAGAATTGAATATCTTTCCTTCCAAGAAGTGGTCCAAAGCCTGGAAGAAGTGGTAGTCAGTTGGTGTAAGGTCTGGTGAATATGGTGGATGACAGAGTTTCCAAGTCCAGCCTCTGTAGTTTGAGCAGCGTTGTTTGTGTGACACGTGGTCTTGCAAGAGGATTGGCCTGTCTCTATTGACCAATTTCGGCTGCTTAATCACAAGCATCCTCATTGTTTTGTCCAGCTGGTCTCAGTAGACATCTGCTGTCATGGATTGACCAGGTTTCATGAAGCTGTAGTGGAGAATACTAGTGCTGGACCACCAAACAGACACCATTAGCTTTTTTTGATGAATATTCAGTTTTGGACTGTTTTGGCACTTCATCTTTATCCAACCATTATGCCGAACACTTGTGATTGTCAAAAAGAATCCATTTTCATCACATGTAGCAATACGGTGTAGAAATGGCTTTCCTTTACGTTGTGACAGCAAAGAAAGGCAAGCTTCGGGACGATTTCTCTTCTGACGCAAGTTTAATTCATGCAGTACCCATCCATCCAGCTTCTTTACCTTGCCAATTTGTTTAAAATGGTCCAATATCATTGGAATAGTAACGTCAAACCTTGCTGCTAATTCACATGTAGGCTGAGATGGATTCACTTCCACTGCAGCTTTCAGTTCATCATTATCCATCTTGGTCTTGAGTTGCCCACGTGGCTCATTTTCAAGATTAAAATCACCAGGATGGAACTTCTCAAACCATCAATGTAGTGTGCCTTCATTAGCCACATCCTTCCCAAACACTGCGTTGATATTTCGAGCTGTCTGCACAGCATTGGTTCCACAACAGAACTCACACTACTAGAAAATAACATGAATTTTTTACTTATCCATGGTTTCACAAAAATGGCTCTAAAAAAAAATTTGAAAGATAAGCACAAGCCAAACTGTGTGTTTGAAAGAATGAGGATGTACCTTCACAATAAAAATAAAATCAGATCTGATTTCTTTAAGTACTAAGCTTGACAGTTGATATCTCTGACATTTCACTTTGACACTTTTTGTTTTATTTATTTTTTTTATTGCTCTAATACTGTCAAGTATGAACTCTTTAGAATGTGATAACGTAGGAAAACTTCTGGGTCATAATTTACTGAAAGGGAAATACTTTTTGATTTTTAGGTCTTATGAGCTAACCCGGAAGGACCGACTGTACAAAAACGTCATTCGAATGCAGCATACGCATGGATTCAAGGCTTTTCACATCCTCCCTCAGACCTTCCTCCTGCCAGCTGAGTATGCGGAATTCTGTAGTAAGTGCTTGCCTGAGAATGCCCCAGTCCCCAGCAACTGAACTTGGGGTAAATTTACCCCAGAGGCTGCCTCAAGTTGTCAACCAATTGAGGCTTTTCAAATCCTTAAAAAATTATTGTTCTTTGGTAAAAGAGTTACAGAGATAACTTTAAAACTATTTTTATTCTGATTGTGTGTGTACCTGTATATTTATTCTTAGTAAGCTTGTGAATATCATTTATGTAAGCCCACATCGGTGTCACGTAAGCGGCCCTGTCTGGTGTATTTTGCTTTAATGTCTTTTCTCTCCACTGACGAGTTAGTGCCTATGTAAGGACACTTTGTATTTCTGCATGTAAATTGTTAATACTTATGCTTCCTTTTTGGTGTCCCTTTTTCCCTTGCCATTTAAGACACATTCTTGCCAACTTGGTTTTTGGACTTGTGTGATTTGTGTTCTTTGGTGTATAAGTATCATGTATCTTTTGATGTTAAGAGTTTGGAAGTTAGTCACATCCTCTCCCGTTTGAGTCCAGACTAATCACAAAACACATGTAAGTGCCAATTAGACACCTAAATGTCAGCGGTATTGCTGGTAAAGTGACATAGGACCACGTGGCCTGGATCCAGCTCTAGTATGGGCTTCTTATTGCTTTTGCCTTATTGTGAACTTACCTATCCAGGCCTAGGGAGAGTTGCTGGCTATTTTAGGCTTTCCTCCGCAGGGGCAGAGCCTGGCTCAGTAGGTTTAGAACACAAAAGAGGCACAAGTACAGAGAAGGTGTGAGGCAGGTCTTTTTTGAGAGTTTAAATAGTAACTATACTAATAGCTAACACTTAATGAACATTTACTTTCTATAAGGCACTCTTTTAAGTGGCACCTCTACTCAGTGGTAGTTTTACAGATGAGGAGATTAAGGTTCAGATTGGTTAAGAAACTTCCCATAAGTTATGCAGCTTGCAAATAGTGGAATTGGGGTTCAAACTGGCAGTTTGGCTTTAGAGGCTATGCTCTTCTCTGTGCTTTATGGCTAAAAGACATGGGCAGCATGCCTGCAATGACCACATCCCAATAGCGGCACTGAGAGAAGTCGCTTCTCCTGTGAGGAGCATCAGATGAGACACACAGAGAAAACAGACAAACAGTGTTCCTCTCAAGAAATCCAAGAGACTGTTCTGCTTTATGGATAGAGGAAGTACCATGGAGAGAAAAGAGAGTTCTCCCTAGACCTCCTCACTTTTTTTTTTTTTTTTTTTTTGAGACAGAGTCTCACTCTTTTGCCCGGGCTAGAGTGAGTGCCGTGGCGTCAGCCTAGCTCACAGCAACCTCAAACTCCTGGGCTCAAGCGATCCTTCTGCCTCAGCCTCCTGAGTAGCTGGGACTACAGGCATGCGCCACCATGCCCGGCTAATTTTTTCTATATATTTTTTTTAGTTGTCCAATTAATTTCTTTCTATTTTTAGTAGAGACGGGGTCTCACTCTTTCTCAGGCTGGTTTCGAACTCCTGAGCTCAAACAATCCGCCCGCCTCGGCCTCCCAGAGAACTAGGATTACAGGCGTGAGCCACCGCGCCCGGCCGACCTCCTGACTTTTGATTCTTATTTTTTTTGCTTTAAGAGACAGGGTCTTGCTCTGTCACCCACGCATAGCTCACTGCAGCCTTGAACTCCTGGCTCAAGTGATCCCCCCACCTCAGCTTCATGAGTAGCTGAGATTACAGGCATAAGACACCATGCCTGGCACTTTTTGTTCTTTTAACCTGTTGGACTTGCCAGTCTGACTGGGTCACCCAGTGAGGTGTTCATGTTTCGGGAGAAGAGCCCAACACTTCATCAGGAACTGCGTCCCCACTTCTCTGATAGCATTACTGGCTACAGCTGGGACCATTGGTTGGCATTTCATTGTTTGTCCACAGAAGGCTCTGAAATGGGTCATGTAAAGCAACTAATTAAATGAATCAACTTCAAAGCTACAGTGCACTCAAAGCTGAAAATTTGTAGTTAAGAATTGTCTGTTATGTGACTTCACTCAAGTTACTCAACCTTCTGTGCTTTAGCTTTCTCATCTGTAAAATGGGACTGTTACTATTGTGGACCTGGTAGTGTTGTCAGGATGTTTAAGTAGGTTAATATGTGGAAAGCACTTGGAATGGGGCTTGATAGGTGCTTAATAAATGTTTAATACTATTTCTTATTTCAAGTTATGTATGACTATATTCTTATATAATAAAAGTAAAAAATTACATAATAAGCCAAACATGATAGGAGAAAAACGCTTCAAGTAATATGTCAACAATATAAAAGAGTCCCAGATATGAACCTTTCCTGTTGAATTTCTAAAGAGAAATAAAAGTCCAGAATAATTCCCTATTAAAGTCTAAAGAATCTAACTTGAAAGTCCTCTTTTCTTTTCCCCTGCTACTTCTTCAGCTATTCTCTTCCCACTCTCTGGAGGTGGGGCAGGGGGCTGGTGGTGTTCATTCACATGATGGGATAGAGTTAGAGTTTCTCCATCAGCTCAAGCCAGACTCATGTTTCAATTGAATTGCCTCTTCAGTGTGTTATTCAGACTCTTATGTGTTTTTTTAGCAAAAATGACTTTGAAAGGTCAATAGAACACATAGCATTATTACAGCTATAACCTAAAGCTATCACATTTAGCCCCAGGGAAATTACTGCAGGCCATGGGTGTTCCTTGATCCCCAGTACAAATCAGTCACTGCTGTTGCCATGCAAAGACCACAGCAGGGACTTACTGTGTCTGTGGAAGACAGGAGACAGGGAAGATGGGGTCCATGACCTCTATGCTTAAATTCAGTTGGCAGAAATCCAACAGGTTAATCATGTTGTTAAGCTGACATATTAGGGAAGAAATCCATCGATTGCTACCACCTCCTCTTTCAAAGAGATATTCTTCTTCTTTGTGAAGTCTGTTGAAAGTTCCCCTCTTTTCCTTTGATGTCCCTCTAGCATAGAAAACTTGGAAATTCTGTTTTTTCCATGACTGTTGTGTTCCTGGCCCTATAGCGCTTAATTGAATATGGGCATTGGGAGATTTTTGAGCAGGAAAGGGGCGTAAACAGACTGGCCTTTAGAAAAATAATTGTGTCAAATGAATCAGAAGAAGCAGAAAGAAGGAAAAGGTGATCACTTTGAAAGTTATTGCAATGATGTGGATAAGAAGTGTTGATGGACTGAACCAGGAGGTGGAAATGGAGAGGTTTGAGTAGAAAGAGTGGGAGAATGAACGAGATTCACTGACTAAGATGTGGGGAGTGAGGCGGAGCAAAAGAGGCCTCCAAAACTTTGAGTCTGAGAAGCTAGGAGAATCATTAGGTCTTTAACCAAGGAATGTAACCAGGAACATAAAGGAGGAGCTATTAAAGGGGAAGGGAAATGTTAAATTTTGGACAAGGTATGGATTTGGGTGTCTAAAGGGCATCCATGCAGTGATGTTTCGTAGACAGTTATAAAAGCAGCTTTGAGTTCTGGCCAGAGACGTAGATTCTGGAGGTTGCAGGTATGGAGATGGATGTGATTACTAAGGGAGTGAAAAAGAAAGAGAAGAAGCACCATGCATGATCAGAGACGAGAGGAATATTGAAGAGGAATGAGGTCTCAGGAGAGACAGGAGAGGGTTACATCAAGAGCCCAAGCAGAAGGATGAGTGTTGGAAAGAGAGATAGGCACGTGTCCCCTAAAAGGAGGAAAGGGAGAAGGCTAAGTGATGATCCAGGTAACATTTTAGATGGAGAGGAAAGCAGATAAGTAGGTTTATGTTACAATTCCCAGCCTTCTTGGTGAAGAGGCTGATGAGATCTTGTGCCAGGAGTGAGGGATGGGTTTGGGTGTCTGAAAGGGGCAGAAAGGGATTGGAAGAGCTTCTGAAGGGAGCTTGGAAGAGCTTCTAGGGATGGGTTTGGGTGTCTGAAAGGGGCAGAAAGGGATTGGAAGAGCTTCTGAAGGACCTTTGAAAGAGAACTGATAAGGATTGGACATGAGGATTGCTTAAAGACACTAGAGATATACCAGCCAAGGTAATTTTATGAATTTATAGCTTTTTGTTCTAATAAGAGAAAACCTTAAATATGTCTCTGTGGAGGTGTAGCCCAGAGAGACTAATCACTATCTCCAGAGATGTTAAAGCTTGGATACTCCCCAAACTGTTCCCAGTTATTAGAGTGTAGGGGTTGGCATTACATGGCACAGACCTCTCTAGGTTCCTGGTGTCACCATTGCCAGTTACAATTTTTAGTAGAATTGGAGGTCTGTGACCCTGAAGAACCTGAGGATTTGTTGCCAGCTCCAGCCATGTTCCCCAAGGACAGCTTTCTAAGCAGAAAGAAGAAAGCAACAAAGAAGATGGGGTGGTGCCAGTATCAGAAAAGCAAAATTTTCCCCAGCATTGTGTTCTGTGGCCCTCTCTTGTAAGAAAGACTGAGAAATGATTCTAAGACACAAATTTTCATTTCAGCCAATTAGTTACAGATGAGTAGATTTCAAAGCAATCAGTAAATTTATAGAATCATAATTTTAGAGTTATAAGAGATTATATAGCAATTCAGGCTAAATACTACCCTCGTTTAAAGATAAGACTAGATGGTTTAAGTAAATTACTCATGGAGTCACATAGTTGAAAAGCCAGAATTAGAACTCAGGTCTTTCTACTCCAGGTTTTCTACTCCAGGTTCAGTGCTCTTTCCATTGGACCAAGCATGCTGCCACTCTAGGAATGGAAGGCACTGGAAAGAATTGTGGAACCTGTTTGGTACATCTTCGTCCTAAAGCAGAGGTTCCTGAGCTTTCTGCCCTGCCTCTTCCTCTGATTTTTCTTCTTTCCTACCCACATTTTAGAACCTATAAAAGAAATCAGTCAATCCTTGTTCTCAAATACTGCAAATCAAAGAGAAAAGCCTCGCATGAAAGACAAGTCTTGGATATTTATAATTTCAAGAATGTGATACTAGTGAAGCACCAGAAGCGCTAACTTCTGATAAGTGTAATTCACAGTGTAGGACTGATTAAACAATGTGTTAGGTGACAAAAATTACATTTAGCTAGATTTACCCTTTTCTGGAAATGAGAGTTTTCTACATGTGCTTGTCACTGCAGAGGGTACCATTTCCAGACAGCTTTGGTTATTTTCTTAGATAGTCCTATAGCACCCTGTACTTCCTCTTTATTCCTCCAGTGTCTGTAATATATTGTTCAATGTCTGTCTTTTCTGCTAGTCTAATCTTTGTAAGGGTAAAGACTGTCCTTTTCACTACTGTATGCCCACACCTACCAAACTGATTAACACAGGTTAGAGGTATTGAATGAATGAAGTTTAGAATATTTTGTAATTTTTTGTTTTAATATTAATAGCATCTGTGCTCAGGTAATCCGTTGTCTCCTCGGTATTTGGGGAAAATGGCAAAATGAAAAAAGTATGTAAACTATACATATACATATTCAGTGACCTAACTTTATGGAGATTTAATTTATTTGTCATATATAACTGTAAATATGTCTTCCATAGCAGGACTTGAAAATTATAGAAATTGTGTTTTTGAAAAGTAATATATTCCTATGGTAGAAAAGAAATTACAAAAGTATAGTCAGTGAAAAGCCTCCTTTCTCCTCTTTTCCTTAGTCATGCAGTTCTCCTCTCTAGAGGTGATCCGTGTTACTGTTTTTTTTTACATATCCTTCTAGAGATGTTCTTTGCATTTACTAGCAAATAATGTGTGTGTGTAAATGAACAGATGGGAGTACACAATACGCATTTCCCTGCATTTTCCTCTTTTTCACTTAACAAGCTGTCCTTGAGATCATTCCATATCAGTTCTCGTTTCGTGTGTGTGCTCAATATTCTATTTTGTAGATTAGATGTCTGCAAACTACAGACCTTGAGTCAAGTCAGTCCTCTGCCTGTTTTTGTATGTCCCATGAGCTAAGAACAATTTTTAAATGGTTAGGAAAAGAATAAGATTTTGTGGCATGTGGAAATCATATGAAATTCAGTGCCCATGCATAGTTTTATGGAAACACAGCCACGCCCCTTTGTTTACATACCGTTTATGGTTGCTTTCAAGCTACCATGGCAGAGTTGGGTAGTTGCAACAGAGGTTGCACAGCTCATAAAACCTAAAATATTAATTATTTGGCTTTTTGCAAAAAAAAGTTTGCTGACCCCTCATATGGATACAATATAGTGTATTTAATGACTCTTTTGCTATTATAATGCAGCATTGAATAATCTTGTATGTAAAACATTTCACACATGTGAGAAGAACTAGAGGATACAGGTCTGGAAGTAGAATTGCTTGTAGAGTTTTAAATTCTGTGTGGCATGTTGAATTTTTCTAATTCTGTTAATTCTGCATCAAGGGAGAAGGCAGGGGAAGAAGGGGGAGAGTGAACAAAGAGATCTTTTTTTCCTCCTGGTGAAATGGTTTGTGGCACTGACAAAGTCAAGTTCCTGTTGGGAGGCCTTGAAGAGACTATTTGGCTCATATCAGAGGGAAAGGAAAGAAAAAGAGGCAGTAGTTGCTGGCAAGTCTTGGGGGAGAGGAGCCGAGCCAAGCTTGTTCCTCCTGAAGGCATGCCTGGTGTAGGCCCAGATGCAGGGTGGAGGGAAGTTTGTGTACTTATCTGGGGGAAGAGGGTAGGTGGATTAGCACACAGGTGGAAGTACTTGCCTCTTAATAACTCAAACCAGAGAAACATGAACTATAGGGAACTTTATTAGGTTTATGTTGCTTATTCTAGATGAAATGGTGCTAATATCATGATGCACAGCAACCTAGGCAATTCTGAGACCTGTTCAGAAACATTGTATTTACTTATTTCCCCACACTTACCTATTCCTTCCCTGTTTCTCTTCTTTCAGAGAAGAAAAATATCAAGAAAAAGTAAATCTTTTTTCATCTTCCATTTTTTCCCCTCGTACTTTGAAGCAGTAACCACTATTGCTACCTAAGGTATTTCATCAAAAGTGAAAGCGGCAGAGTTGAGAGTAAGGACTAGTTAACCTCTCTCCTGTCAGGGATGTGAGAACTCAGCAGCACTGAGTCCTCTGTCCCTGCTTCTCCCCCAACTTCTGACATTCCCTAAGTGGAAGACAGAGCCATCCGCTTTCCCCAGACCACTTACAAGCCTTTGGAAGTCTTAGTATCAGTTGTCTGCTTTCTGTCCTCACAATCCAAAGGTATTGAATTCGGGAAAGGAGCAGAAGCAGATGATACCATTTAATTACTTGTAAATTATTGTCCTTCCTCTCCACTTGCACATTGCTCGATTTAAGGCATTTTTTTCTTAAAAGCTCTAAGGAATTACTTAAGGAAAGTAACCATGTTGGGAGATCTAGCTTTTGACTTAACATTGTCACTGTTTGCTGGAGGTCCTTTAGTTAACAGATGAGAATGTCAAAGATTCATGAAGGTCTTTTGTGACAGTTAATAGACTCACATCCAGATGTTTGCCTTATTTTGTTTTTATCATCTCATTCAAGAAAGAGGGGAAATGGCGGGAGAAATAATTATGTAAGGAATTTTGCTGTCCTCTTTTCTTCTCCTCCTCTTTCTTTTCCTCCTTATTCCTGTCTCCCTTCTACCCTCCTGCCACCTCATTCCCTACCTCCCATTTTTTTTGTTGTTGTTGTTGTTTTTTGAGACAGAGTCTCACTCTGTCACCCTGCGTAGAGTGCAGGGGCATCTTTGTAACTCACTGCAGCCTCAAATTCCTGGGTTCAAGCAATCCTCCTGCCTCAGCCTCCCAAGTAGCTGGGACAACAGGCACGCCACCACGCCTGGCTAATTTTTTCTATTTTTAGTAGAGACAGGGTCTCACTCTTGCTCAGGCTGGTCTTGAACTCCTGACCTCAAGTGATCCTCCTGCCTCCGCTTCCCAGAGTGCTAGAATTGCAGGCGTGAGCCACTGTGCCCAGCTCATTTTCATTTTTTAAGGCTAGTCCAAAATGCTAATTTTAGCTGCTGCCCTACACTTAGAAATTTGGAAGATTTTTGGGGTCCCTGATTAGAAAACCATTATTGAAAGTTGAGACAATAAACATGTTTATTTTATCTCTCTGTTTCTCCCCTTTTTTATCTCCCAATATTTTGAGCAGATTCATATTCAAAGGACCGGGGACCTTGGATAGTAAAACCAGTGGCTTCTTCTAGGGGGCGGGGCGTCTACCTGATCAACAACGTAAGTACGCAGCTGATGGCAAACCTCTTTCCTTACTTGTTTTTTTCTCCCTCACTCTTTGTCCTGGATACTAACTAATATGGTTCCGTTTCATTAAGAGCAGATGTGCCCTTCTGAAATCTACATTCAGTAGTGACTTAAGGGTAGATATGTGTTGGCTGCTGTTCACCTTACTGGCAGGAACTTCCTCCTGCTCCAACAGTTAGTCCATAGTTTAATAAGTCACTTCATGAAATTTTGGGGGACAGCCTTTTGTGTCAGCAGAAAAGAGGTACCTTTTCTGCTTTCAGCATATTGCCTTGCTAATTAATTCCTCAGCACTAAGCATTAATTGGTAGCATATATGTTTAGCTTCTACTGTCAGCAGAACTTTGGGTTCCTGCTCTCAAGGTTATTAAGCAGATTAACATTAATTTGGCATCCTCGCTGCTGCTGCTTTCCCCTTCCCTTCCTCCATTTCTTCTTCCTTCTGTCTGTTCTTCTCTTTCTTTTTTTCAAAAGCCATCAATATCTTGATTCTTTGCAAAATTCTCATTAAAAGTTGTTTTAAATTGAATACATATATGGAGTAAAAAAAATTCCAACTCATTTCACTCCTTAGACTTACAACACTTAGTAACTTAATATAGTTGATTTATTTTTTTCTCTTCTTGACTTTACATTGTATTTGTTAATTCTCAATTTGATATTTGTTGAGCTCACATCACATCCTACCCTCCCTTCCACATTCCCATCTCTAAGTTTGATTAGTTTTTATTTTTATATTTTAAAAATTTACATTTCTCTTCAATAACTATGATTCAATTTCACTGTTTTATCTATAAATTGAATAGAAAATTTAAACTCAATAGAAACAGACTTTATAGCATCAGGATTCTGAAATTTAACCAGTGTTTAGGTTCACCTTAAACCTTTTTTTCATTCTTCGTCTTGAACATTTGGTGGGCCCTTTCAGCCTGGAAACTAGAGTTTTTCTTCAGTTCAGGGAAAATTATCCTCTTATTATCTTTGTCTCTGCTTTTATAACTCCTTTCTAAGGAATTCTTGGTCTTTCCCTTCATGTTAACTTTTCTCTCATTTTTAAATTCTTTGTCCTTTCCTCGTCTTTATCTTCTGGATCACTAGTTTGAGCTCTACCCATTTTGTTATTCATTCATCTACTGTATTTTTATATTGGATATCATATTTTGGTTTCTGGAAACTCTTATTTTCTGATTTACTTCATTTTTATTTTTATTTGTGAATAGCACCGTGTTGTTGCTTAGTGGATGCAGTTTGCCTGCCTGTCTTTCTGAAGTTACTAGTTGAAATTTTTATAAAGTTTTCTTCTGTTTTTCAGTTTTATTGGGATTGTCTTTTTTCCTGCCATAGGATTTTCTCAGTTTTGATGATCCTTAAGTATTGGGACATATTTATGAACAAAAGACTGGGCTGATTGAAATTGGTAGCTGGCATGGGTCTTTCCTACGGTTGTATAGGACTCTTTCCCTTGTAGCCTTTCTGTGGAGGAGGATGACTGAGAGTTTTGTGTAAGGGCAAAGCGCATTGACTGTCACGCTGTGCTTTAGGTGGATGTGGGTCACAACACGTGTGAGGAGTATGTCCCTTCCACCTTGCCAAAATAGAATGGGCCTTATTGCGAATGTAGAGGAAGATTTTGGTGATTTTCCTCTTGGGCAGAACTACCTTTCCTCTCTTTTCCTTTTTATATCTGTTGGGGTTAGAGAGGCCTCAAATTCCACTCTTCTCTGTCGGATCCCTATACCCACACGTCTGCTGGCATCGCTGCTGAATGATGGCAAAATGCTGTTTGTTAATTAATTATCTGATTCTTGTTCCTTGGCCCACCCCAGTCTTCATGTTTGTTGACTACCAGCTTGGAACTTTGCAGGGGCCTCCTTGGGAAGATCACTCTCACTTCTCGTATTTTGGCCTGGGGTTTCCTCTCAACATGAGCCCATCTGCTTTCTATCTTTTAGGATTTCCTTAAACGTTTGGTCTGTTCTGGCTCCTTTTACTTTTTTCTAGCCTTGTTTTCATTTCATTCGTTTGAAAATATCCTTTTCTGTCCTTCCAGTGGAACTCTGGAAGGAAAGGGTAGCGGGGAAGGTAGATGTGTTGTATGTATGGCCAATGCTCCATCTTAAATTCCCTAGTTACCTTTTCACATTGAGCTATTTCCTCTATGTGCAGAAACTAACTTTCTGAGGAATCTTTCACATTGAAAAATCCTTAAATTCAGTCTGTGCTGAAACTATACAGTGATGGCTAGATCTTTCATGCTAATAAATATAGGATCTGATTTTGATAGAACAACTACTACAGTTCCACATCCAAGCTACAAGTTCCGTTACCTGGCCTGGGTCACTCTGGAGTCCTTTAACCCTGAGTCTCATGTGACATAAGGCCTGGTCATTTGCCTTGGCTCTCTCTTTTCTTGTCTCTGCTGTGACCTTGGCGTGAAAGCTCCTCTCCAATAGCTTTTCCTTCAGTTCTGTGCCAGGAGCTCCAGTGTTGTTTGAATCTCATAGACGGCACTAGTTTGGGTTTGGGTTTTAGCTGCCAAATGAAATTGCTATTGAAAGTCAACTGTGGTACAAATTTGCCTTTTATTTTCTTAGACGTGAGTCAAAAAGAACAGGATCTATTCCCAGCTCATCTGGGACTTTTTTTCTTTTGGAATGCTCTTTTGCCCTAGTGATTTGTTATTTTAAAGCTAGCATCATAAAGAATACAAAAGTTAAACTTTCTCTGGTAGGGCTGAGAACCCTGTGCCCTAAGTCTTCACTGGATACCGAGTCTCAAAGGGGGTGACATGTCTTTAGAGAATGTGTTTGGCAGGGTATGTAATCGTCTTTTCCTTCCTCCCACCTCTCTCTGGGCTGAATCCCTTGAGACCCCCTGCATAGATCAAAGCACTTGGCAAAACCTTTTGCCTTCCCCCTCCCCCTTTGCGAAGCTTTGGAATGAGTCTGATTCTTGTAGGTATTTAGTGGAGGTGCCAGACAGAAGCCTGGGAAGATGCCAGCAGGCATGAGGGGAGCTGGCAGCATGTGGACATAATGGGAAAATATTCCCATTTCACCCCCAAACTGGAATTTTATCACCTTTTACCCAGACCTACAAACCATGTTGTTAATACTCCTCTTTCTCCTTACACAGAAGGCCTAACCATCCCTTCTTTTCCATACCTGGATCCTTTCCCATGGAATATGTGACCCATTAGCCAACTGGATGAAGTAACTCTTTCCAAGGCTGCTGCCTGCTTTTCTTTTAGATTTGTGGGGGAGAGAGAGGGAGTGCTAAGGGGGGAGGGTCTGTGAGCAGGACTAATGGGGGCCGGTGAGGGATTTGGCAGGGGGGTTGGAGTTAGTTGTGAGGGCCAAATGAAAACATCTCTCCCTGTCTTCCCACTGGAGTGAGAGGGCCTCTTATTAAAACTTCCCTAGAATAGTCATAACCTTTTGGAAAATATCTGCAAATAGCAACTTTTACCATTCCGAGAACAGGATAAAGGATAGAAAGAGCATTGCTTTTATGTAATGCTAAAGAGAGAATTGTGGACTCCTGCAGATGGAAGCATCTTGGTTGGTTGGCTAACATGGTGTCTTAATGATGTACTCTTTATCTCTAGAGGTATAGTATAAAGGAACAAAGTGGTGTTTGCTCCAGTTCCTTCAGTAACCATGACTAAATGCCATATTTTCCCAATTTAATACATTCAAATCGAGGAGGGCAAAGACCTGGTGTTTCCTGATTAAGGTGTGAATTTGATTATGGAAATCAGATTTTTGTCATCCTTGTCTCACACATTATCCATGGTAAAAACAGTACTAATATATTCCCTGAGATTTTGACATATTGGGAGAGTGTTAGGTCACTCTATTCACTCCTAGACTTGTGAATATAGTTCTGTACTCTCTTCTATTTGTTTATATATTTTTATCTTAGGTCCTCTCTGTTTTTCTCATTACTTAACAAATATTTAGGGAGTGCCTACTGTGGACCAGGTGCTGTCACTCCTTAAAACCTTTTGAGAAATTCTCCTAATTCTTACCTATCTCTCTTACAACTCAGTGCCCTGCTCTTGAGTAGGATGGCATGTGGCATGCAGTAATGAATGCTGTCAAGCTGTGGAACTTAGAAATTAGAATCACATAGATACTATTAAGTTTGCAGCAATAATGATAAGTGATATTTACTGAGCATTTAACATGTGCCTACCACTGTGCCTTCCAAATATAATCTCATTTAATCTTTATACAAACCCTATAAAGTAGTTATTATTAAATACTTCCTTAGTAAGTGGTAGAGTCCAGGTTGTAACTCAAGTCTAGCTTATTCCAGAGTACATACTCTTAACCTCTGTATCATTCTTCTTCACAATGACTTAACAGATACCATGAGCTTTAATCTTAAGGTCCAGTAAGAAAAATGGATGTGTTTCCAATTTTCTCAACAATTCAGATTCCTGCTTTAGCATACTTTGGGAGGCAATGAGTTAATGGGGGATTGATGAAACAGGCTTGAAGATATAAAAATGCTTTCATTAGTTGCCGTTCAGTGTATAATACTATGCAAAGAAACTGTATACCAGAACCATCTTTTTCTTCTATAAGCTTACGGTTTAATTCCCAATGCAGATAGAAAGGAGAGGTAAAGACAATAGAACAAATATTAAAGTTACCTAAACAATGTAAGGGTTTATGTTAAGTTTAGTAACTCAGAAGATAAATGTGTACAGTGAGGAAGGGAAGAGAGGATATGGGCCTGGGCAGTAGGTGTGTCATGGAGTGAAAGACCACTACCAGTTTATTTTCTGGTTTGGAGGAAAGTTGAGTGGATTTGTATCTCTTGTAGCCTATAGATGTTACTCAGTAGGGAGAGAGCTGTGGTTGTTTAATTTTAGGTTTAGAACACAGCTATATAATGATTGCCTCAGTTCTTACTAAGCTGGTTCAAAATGGAGTTAGTGCTTGTGAGAAACCGATCAAGAAATGTAAGGGATTCAGGAAGTGGTATGGGTGATTAAGTTTGTTAGGGATGAATCAGTACTGGTGTCATTGTGTCCATATGATGCATAGAGATGGGCGGTGAGAGCTGTGTTCTGACTTGGAGATAGGAAGAGTGGGAAATGAGAGGGGAATCTTACTATTCTGACTCTGGAGTTGCTCATTGTGGTTGTGTATAATGTTATGGGTCACAAAATTATTTTTATTTTATGAACAATTGTATGTGGGGTAGGAAATGCATTATTACAAAGACAAACTTTTGAATTTGGGGGCAGAGTACTGGGGAGAGGTATGAATAGTGCTTAAAAGTTAAGTCTCTGAGGCAGACTGCCTGGGTTCCAGTGCTGCTCTGTTGCTTATTAGCTCTGTGACTTTGAGCAGGTCCCTAACCCTCTCTGATTCTCTTTTCGTCTGTAAAATGTGGATAGTGATATACCTGCCGCCCAGGGTTGGGTAAGGGTTAAGTGAAATAATTCTGTGATATACACTAGAACAGTGCTTGGCACATAGAAATGTTCTGTATATTTATTAAATTTTAATTGTTTCTGCAAATGTTCATAGTTATTTCTGTTGCTGCTTCTGTAGCTATTATCATCATAATTATTATCATTACCACTGCCCTTTTGTGGGACCCTTTTGTCCTACATGGATTGTGCTGACTTTCAACTGATTGCTCTGTCTTAATCTAATCAAACATGGAGTTGTTCTATTTCAGATACTTTAATCTTACTGTTTCCTTAATCTAGAGCCCGTAATAACTTCCTGCTTCCCACCATGTTAAAAATAAACTTCCCTTGCCAGATCCCTTGCGCAGATCCCTTTGCCAGTGGGGTCACTCCCTCCTTGCTGTCTTACCATGCCTTTATTATTTCTCAGTTCAGTCTATTAGCCCTACGTCTATGAATCTGTCTACCCTCCTTTTGACTGGACTTTGCACATGCCCCCTTCTCATGATGGCCTCCTTTCCTCTCCACATGTGCTTGATAGCTTCCAACACTCACTTCTGCACCTACTCGTCCAGGACAAGCTTTCCCCAACTGGCCCACCTGACTGGTTTGCATTTGACTTTGCAACCTGACATCTTGTATTTGTGGATATGCTGTTTTGTGTTCTTGTAAATTATTATATATATTTTGCTGTCCCTCTACCTAAATATTAAACTCTCTGGGGATAGGGGCTACTAAATCTTAAGTTCTATGAGGGCAGAGATTGTGTCTATTTTCTTCATTACTGTATCCCAAGTGCCTTGTATAGTGTCCAACGTACTCACTATTTATTGGATAAATAACTTTTTTATTGAAGAAGTCTTTTTTTTAAATTTTAGAATATTCTAGGGGTACAAATGTTTTGGATATATGAATTGCTTTTGTACAGTTTGAGTCAAAGTTGTAAGTGTGTCTATCATCCATATAATAGTGTGCACTGTACCCATTAGATGTGAATTTACCCACCTCTTCCTCCCCCCTCCCACCCGCTAGATTATTGAAGAAATCTTTAAAAGATTTAATTCAGTCTTTGCATACAGTTACTTAGGAAGTGCCCTTAAGAGAATCAATCAAATGTCCATTTTGTTTCACAGAGGAAATGCTAGGATCCATTGTGGATCTGTAAGTTTGCTAAACAACTTAATGAAAACCTTCATTTAAGAATAGTGGTAGTATTTTTAAATTTCCATCATAGTTTACATTTGGGAGAAAGCAAGTTTTTATTTTTTATGTTGCTCTTATTTTCTTGGCATATAACTATTAAATATCATGTATGTAAATGTTTAAAGCTGTTTAGGCCGTATTAATTATGTGAGAGGTGCTGTGTAAATTTATTTTTCCCCCACTGTAATTAGATACCCACAGAATTTATGGAATTGATGTATTATGTAGCCTATTGAATATATGGGTACCTTGGAGGGAAACTTTTCCTAGAGTTTTAGTTTTCTATATTATCATTTCTTAAAAGGTTAAGAACTTTGCTCCCTTATTATAAATTAGGATTCCTTTGCATTTCTACGTTTTCATTCTTTCTCTTTACTCAATAGCCAAACCAGATTTCCCTGGAAGAGAACATCCTGGTCTCCCGTTACATTAACAACCCCCTGCTCATAGATGGTGAGTTGTGTTAGGCCCTTGATGAAATTGGACTAGATCTTGCTATACTTTTTAACCTTTTCATAGTCTTCTTTAGTAAGTCTTTATTAAGCTAGTGTGAAATTCTTAGCACCTGTGGCTCCAGAGATGAGGCTTGTTCCATACCTACCTCATGGAATTATTTTGAAGATGAATTGAGATAATATAAGAGAAAGTGCTTTATAGGTTATACAATAATTCGTACATATGTATGCAAACTATGCAGTATATATAAAATTGAACTATATACATGCGTTAAACACATTATATATATAATAGCATAATGTACTATGCATGTATAGTACAATTATATAAATTATTAGTTATGCTCAAAATGTAAGGTATGTGGGCAGTATGTTTTTCATATGGAGAGGAGGAATGTTGTTTCTTTCATATTTCTTGGTTATATTGTCCTGTTGATTCTATTACAGAAAACAAAGGAACTTAGTTTTTTGTAAAAATCCAAACTTTTTTTCTAGATTTCAAGTTTGACTTGCGCCTCTATGTGCTCGTGACTTCCTATGATCCTCTTGTCATCTATCTCTATGAAGAAGGATTGGCTAGGTAAGAGACTTTGTTTTTGGGTAGAGGGGTGGAGTGGGTATATTAGACTGGACCCGCTAAACAGTTTATTAAGATCAGACTGTTTCTTTCTGTTATGTTCATCTTAAGAAAATAAAATATATATGCAGATGGACTTCAGATTACTGAAATCAGTCTTACTAGTCTACATTCTCACTTGCATGTCCACACATATAAGTATATGTAAACACATACCTTTCCCAGCAGGGATCCAGGATCACATGGTATTTTCATGCAATGACAATTGTTATGACGACCCTAGGGTATTAAGATAATTTGCCATTTTTCTTCAGAATAGATCTAGAAAGAAAAACAAAATCCCACATTTATTTACCTGTTATATACTAGGCATTTATTTTAATCCTCACAACTACCTTATAGTTGATGCATTTTTGCAGTTGAGGAAACTGAGACTTAAAGAGGTGAGGGAACTTTAACTCACTTTTCTGAGATCTTTCAGCTGCTTGGTGGTGGACTGGAGATTTGAACTCATGGATCTGACTCCAGAGCTCAAGATGAGAACTGTTTTATTTCCTCTCATGTTTAGGGGGTATTAGATGCTTTTATTTTTAACATTCAAGTTATATATACATTGTTCTCTTTTTCTTGAGGTGCTTTTTAAGTTTGAAGGTAATGTGACTTACAAGATTAAATTCACGTTGTAATAATTTGAAATTTTGTTTTCCATATCTACAGGTGACAGTGGTTTTTGTACACCCTTGAATTGTTTAAAATAAGTATGTCACTTTGCTATGCTTGTGTTCTTTCCCCCACAAAACCAATTTTATTTTAATCAAATAGTTTGTCCTGAAGTTTTTTTATGCATAATGGATTTGTTGTTATAGAGCATAGCAATTTTGGAGGCGGTTTGCATCTGTGAGCAGTCATGACAAGCTAAAAAATATGGTCTGTGTATTTTTCTGTATATTAGAAAATGTAGTTTGAAGATGGGAAATACCATGGATAAAAGAAGGCTACCTATTTAGGTATAGGTACTTTGGAAAATATTATTTTACTCTGACAACTATTATTTTAGAATAGTATTTTAATTATTTTGTATACTTTTTTTTGATATATCCTTTGACCTAGAATCAGAGTGAGAATGGACTAAAAGCTTCTAGCTGGTTGAGCTGTCTTGACTTCGCCTCTAGGTGGCAGTGACAGCATTTATAAGCTCTGTCGTATTCTTAACTAAGATTTATGAATTTGAGCCTGGGAACATTGAGGGCTACCTAAACTCCCTAGTTCTGGCCTCTTCTTCCTTGGAAATTGAGATTGGGGAGAACTAAAACATGTCCCAGTTATTGAATAAAGGGCTGGACCAGGCATCTGAACAGGAACTGACTACTAGTTCTAATCAGGTTTTTATAGGAAAGAAATTCTCTATGGGTTTGTAGATGCATGTGCACTCATACTTTCAAGTATAGATATACAAGACTAGGTATAAAAGCCTAGTCCCTATGTTATCCAGAACAAAATGAAGATAAAATATACCACTAACTTCTGCTTAGGTATGCAAGGCGCTGAGGATTTTCAGTTTTGTAATTTGAGACTTCTGAGCTTTTCCTCTTCAATATTATAAGCTTCTCCATTCTCCTTCCTCCACTCATCCTCACCTCTACTCGTCTCCTGTGTTCTGCTAGGGAACTAATTATGTCCTGACACAAATTGGACTTTGCGAATAGAGAAAAGATATCAAGGTTATGCTTCAGTGTTTGTCAAGGATACCACACCAGTATGTTTTGCTTAATATTTCAAAGATATTTCACCCACAATATTAATAGCTCTCCCTGTGGGTAAAATTTGGCATAGTTTTAAGACCTTCATGGTTCAGAGCACAAAATGAGAGCAGTACCAATGTTTATTTTAGTTACTACAGATACACAAGCACTTTAGCTATTGGTTGTGTGTTGGAAGTCAGAATCCACTGAATTGAGTAACCTTCCTCTTTTGTTTCCAGCAGAAAGTGAAAATAAATAAATAAATAATATATATATATATATATATATATATATATAAAAATCAATAGATGCTCTTTCTCAAAATAATTAGGAAAACAGGTTTTTAAAATGTCAGACCAAATTGAACCAAAAAACAACATAAGTTTTCAGGGCTTTGGTTAGGTTCTTCTGAAAATAAGGTGAACGTAAAAGCTTTATCAAAGCTTTACAAAAAGATGATACATAAGCAGTATGATGGATTATTTGCTGGAGTCCTGTGAAGGTACATTGTTCTGTGCAGTAATGTCAATGTGCCTGAGTTCTTGTGTCTTTGCTCACTATGTGTCTTGGCATTCACCTGCTTTTTTTTAATCCTCATAACTGTGTCATTACATTCAGCAATAGTCTGTAGCATCTCCAGATCTGCACCTTGCAGTAATCTTGAGTCACATGCTATGTGGACATAACTGAGATACTCAGTCTGGGATGAGATCCCTAGGTCATTGTACTTTGAGGCTCAACAAGGAAAACCATCTTTCCTAAAGAGATGGAAGTGTAGGCAAATGTAATTAGTTTTCTTCTTCAGAAAGGAAGGCTCTTACACCGTATCACTTCTGTTTTGGATCTCAGATTAATGCAAGGTGACAGAAAGATTAAGTTCATTTCATGAAGCAGTTTTGTGAAATAAGTTATTTTGTTTAAATTTTTTATCTTCTTAAACTTACTAAAGAAAAAGACCCTAGTTTCTTTATAGATTGATTTTTCAGTTGTCTTTGTTTTATTATTATAACATAGGAAGTAGGAGAATTCTCAACTGTTTTCTTATATGTGGATAAAATATTGAAGAGGCATTAAAATGAAATTCTCTTTCTGGTATTTGGGTCCATTGTTTTGTGATTCTTCTAGTAGCACCTCAGAGGGTCCATCCTGCTTTTGAATTGCTGTTTTGTACCAGCAGGGGACACTCAGTTTCCAGAGAGGGGTGCTATTCTCTACCAAAATGGTGTAGATTCTTTTTCCTGTTAGAGGTGAATCCAAAAAGATTTTGTCCTGGATTTTATAACTGTAGGTAGACCCAATATTCGGTTTAAATGATTTGACAAAGCCCTTTTTGAAACGAAGCTAATAGTCAAATTTTCACTCAAACAGGAAAAATAAAAAGTTTAAAATAATTAAAACAAAATTGAGTTGAAAGCAAATATGTAGTCAGAGAGCCAAAGAGAGGTGGCACTCGCAACCTGGGGGACATGAGAGTGCCTCCCCAGGGAACTGAGAGATTCGTCCACCACGCTGTGGAGGTGGGAAGGGAGGACACTGAGAAGGTCCTGTCAGAACTGCCTTTTTTTCTGCCCAGCCATATTACTCAGTGAAAAGTCAGAAAAGACCCCAAAGCATTTCTAATGCCTCTCCCTTTCTCCCCACCCCCAGTTCCTTCTTCAGTAGCCTTCCTTGCTAATTAACACTGGCTCCGCAGGGATATTTACCTTTTCTCTGCTGGATTCCTGTGGTTTTGAAAGAATTCAGGTACTTGTTGGTTGCCAAGGAATTCAGATTACCTCACAGGCTGCACACTGTCCAGAATCTGCCACAGCAGCAAGTGGGGAGAAGAGACACCAACAAGGGGGAGAAAACCCTTTCCAGTGCTCATTGTCACACTCCCTGGCAGGCCTTTGCTATTTGTGAAGTTTGAGTCATTTCTGGCTCTAAAGACAGGGGATCAGGCTGGTAATCCCCTCCCAGACGGCTCTGTAGGGCGCTGCCTAGTCACTGCAGCACTTTGGCAGTCTCCGGGCTGCAGCTGGTTGACAGCAGATCAGAGAGCTCTTGGGCCTCTTGTTCTCTTCCATAAGATTTTTCTGGGTCAGGCCAGGATGAAACCCAGTGGCTCCTGGCAAGGCTGCCTGAGGTGCTGTCTCTTCATCGTCCAGGCCTCTGTGGCTCAAAATGGCTACACCTGCTGAAAGATAACTTCGTTGCCACAGCCAGGGTCTCCTCAGGGCTGGCCTTCTCTTTTCTTTGTACATTTGTAGTGAATGTTTGTTAGAAAATGTAACCAACAAAAGGAGGGGTTTAAGTGTCCCGCATCTAGACTATATATGACCCTCACCATAAGAATGTGTGGTGTCATACTCTTAGAAGAACAAAATGGTTTTTGAATAGGGGAAGAGAGTTTAAAAGATCCCACTAACTCTTTGTGCTTTTCTCCTCCTTTTGATCCTATTAGAAAAGATCTTGGCATGAGCAACTTCAGTGCAATTTCAGTTAATTCTTATCAAGTACCTGCCATATGCCTAACAATGGAATCCTTTTGTCACACAGACACTCAAGACTTTTAGACAAATTATTACCATTGTCTTGATTCTTAGAAACATTAGAAAGCAAAAAGGTGTGTCTTTTGATAATAAGAATTTGTCAGAATAAAAATATTGCCAGAATAAAGACAATCCATATTGTTTTCACTATGGGGAAAAAAGAAAGGGCACATAGTTGTATATTCATCAGTAGGCTGTGAAATAGTACCCAGGCTTTCAAATTTAGCAAAGAAAGTAAGGTTCCCCCCTTTTCTCTTAAATTAAAGATCTGTCTGTGAGAGCTTTCCTAAATCTTGATCTCATTAAGAGGGAGGATCAAGATTCAATCCATCATGTAAATATCAGTGTAAGGATAAGTACAGTCATGCACTCGTAACAATGTTTCAGTCAGTGATGGACCCACATATATGATGGTGGTCCCATAAAATTATAAGGGAGCTAAAAAATTCTTATTGGCTAGTGATTCTGTAGCCTTCATAACATCATAGCATAGTGCATTACCTTTTCTATATTTAGATATGTTTAGATACACAAATATTTACGAATGTGTTCCAGTTGCCTACAGTATTCATACAGTAACATGCTATACAGGTTTGTAGCCTAGGAGTGATAGGCTCTACCATATAGCCTAGTTGTGCAATAGATTATACCATCTAGATTTGTGTAAGTATACTCTGTGATGTTCACACAACAATGAAATCTGCTAACCACATATTTTTTAGAACATATTCCTGCTATTAAGTGACATGTGACTATATTGTAAACTTAGTCCTAGAATACCTAGCAAAGAGTTATTTCTTTTAGGTTGTTGTTATAAAGAAATTGTGCTGAAGCTTTCAAACCTAAATAGGATGAAATCTGATGGTGTGTAAAGGTCTAAATTAAAGGTCACAAACCTAAATGCTCACAAGTACATTCACTGAAGGAAGTTGGCCAGGTGGAGAATGGAAAAGCCTATGTCTCACCTAAAGACATTTACTATTCAGTGCCAGCAAGTCATTGATATTGTTATTGCCAGATCTGGTTTGTTAAGGATCCTTGAACATCTAGATTTTTATTATGAAACTTACCAATTTTTTTAGACTTTCAATTTTGAAACCATTTTGAACTTATAGAAAAGCTGTAAAAGTAGTATAAAGAACTGCCTTTTACCCTACATGTAGATAGCCCCTTCAAATTGTGCCAGTTATCCTAATAATGTTCTTTATAACAAAAGGATCCAATAAAGGATCACATGTTATGTTTAGTTGTCATGTCTTTTTAATCTCCTTCTGTCTGGAACAGTTCCTTGACTTTCATGACCTCAGCATTTTTAAAGATTACAGGCCAGTCATTTTAGATTTTCCCTCTATTTGGATTTGTCTTATATTTTCTCATGATCAGACCCAGGTTATACATTTTGGGCTACAATACCACAGAAGTGGTGCTAGTTCTTCTCATTGTGTTACATCTGATGGTACATAACTATTAAGTGATGTTTGACCATTTGATTAAGGTTGGTATCTACCAGATTCTTTCATTGTAAAGTTACTTTTTCTTTCCCTTTGTAATTAATGAGTATTTTATGAAGAGATACTTTGAAATCATATAAAATTTCATTCTTCATCCCATTTCACCCAATAATTTTAATACCTATTGATATTCTTGCCAAAATGAATTATTGCTATAATGGTTGCCAAATGATGATTTTTCTACAGGGATTCTTATTTTATGTAATGGATTGTAATCCTTTACTATCATGATTTACTTTGATGCTTAAATTGTCCCAGATTCGACCAATGGGAGACCCTTTAATCTGGCTTTTGTGTTCTTTTGACATGTCCCCATCATTCTTTGAGCACAAGATGTTTCAGGTTCATCGTGTTCTTTCTATGACCTATTCCTGGAATCAACCATTTCTCCAAGGAGTACTGGTTGCTTTTTAACAGAGAGTAGTATTTAGAAATCAATATCTGGGTGCTAGATATTCCCACTGCTCTGGGGCATCTCTATTCTCAGGTCCACCCAATTGACAGACTTAGGAAATAGATATATGTGTACATATGTACACATTTACATCTATATTTCTATATCTCTGTGTATTGAAAAGCAGGAGTTCATACTAGTACCTCCAATTCTAGTTCAGAACTACAGAGTACATTCTACCTTTTTCCCTTTTCATGTTTTTCTCTCTTTTCTCCAATAGTGAGAAATCTGGCCCCCAATGTCTTTAACATATTTATTAATTTACTCAGTTCTCTTGTGTGTAGCCAATCTCCTGATCCTGCTGGGGCACTGTCCTACTCAGATGTCCTTACTGTGTGGATTTAGACCCCTACGGGGCAACCACCCTGCTTGGATAACTTCCTTGCACTGCCTCTGGGCTGCCTTCTCCCCCCATTCACCATCTTCCACACGTGGGCCCGGGGTGCAAGAAGGAAGGGCTGCTAGAAGGAAAGTCTGATTTTTAAATGTTGGTCAAGTAATTCAAGTTTAAAAGAAAAACAAAACAAAATAAAAAACTTTTGTAGGTTAATCAGAACTTGAGTAGTAGGCCAAATCCAAGATTAGTGTGACCTCTGATCTAGACAATAAAAAGAAAATGGTGATCAGAGATGATTATGGCTTATTTAATATGGGTTTTAGTGAGCCCCATAGGATCTTACTGATTTAGGAGGAAATAGGAGCACACGTGCCTGCCGTTCCTCTGCATGGTTTTCTGTCTTCCCTATAGGACTAAGTGAAATACAGAGTGCAGCACTTTTACTCTGTGGGGAAACTTTTTCTTTAAGCTTAAGTTATTTTTTTTTTTTTACCCTTTTAATTCTTACTTTCTACTGCTCCTTATACTCTGTAGAAGTCCAATCTATGACATTAGTAATCTTGTCCTTGCTGAAGTTCAGAATAAAATGCTCCAGTGAAAAGGAAGATTAAGAAGAAAAAAAGTGAATTTTTTGGGAGGTGCAGCCGTCTTGAAAAAAGGAGTATAGGAATGACAGATGTGTTGGGTACCAGATTCCAGCTCACCACAGACTTTGTCAGGCTTTTCATGTTGACCAAGTTAGATCAGGTACTCATAGTTAGGTACAGTGAAAGCTGCTTTCTCTGAAACAGAACCTTCCCTCTCCCTCTAACTCGTTATTCTTCTGGGGGAGAGGATGGCAGGAGGTATGTCACTGTGAGGTAATGTCTGGTTGAGCCAGGCAGCCTCTGTGGGGCCAGCAAGGGCCCCTTTTGCATTTTACAAGAATTCAGAAAATGACTGACTTCCACTTGTTTGGAGAATCTCTGTAAGAGGAAGATTGGGATGTGTAGGCCAGGTTTACTCACCAGGGATTGACATGGCTAGAAGTTAAGTGATAACTGCTGGAAGTTTCTAGAAAATCTGAGGTCCTTCTTTAGCATAGACATAGTGCTCATGAAGCTCTTGTCCTTTAGCCTGGTCAACATTTTCTTTTTGTCCACATCCTTTTCCTGGCTTAATGTTTGTGTATCTGGGTTTTTGTTTTATGTTTTTTTGTTTTTTAACTTTTCTTTCTTTGGCTCTTGTGTATTTCTGGTACAGGGAATTAGTGAACGGAGATAGTGGGTGGGTGAGAAGAAATAGAGAAGAGGAAAAATTTTAAGTACTGACCTTTAATGTGGTAAAAATTCATGTTGACTTCATAGTCTGGGTAAGCATATGTAAATAATTTGTAAATCATATAAAAATAAACTTGTGGCCTTCCAGTTTTTTTTCACACACTTGGATATGCCTCTTGGGAAAACCAGTATAGTGAAGGGTGATATGGTTATAGTGGTATGTAAACAGGGATTCATATTTACCATAACCATTCGCCTTGAGTGTCCTTTTGTTGATATTTGAACACTGATGGAAAGTTTTCTCTTTTCTTGGTAACTTCCATCAGAGGCACATATATTTTATACTTTGGTCTTCTGACAGTAGTCCAGGATATCAAATTGCTACCCTGTTTTCAGTGGGCTCCATGTTTAATCCTCCTTCCAAATTCAAGAATTAGTCTCTTGCACTATGCTGTTCTGCTTTGTCTGCCGTCAATGCTGTTATTGTTCTTTTTAAATGGGTATTATAGATTTAGTTCTATTCTTTCTATGGGTATGAGCTCTAAGTCTTTATATTGCTATGCTCTCTATATTTTTTTCTTTTGTCTTCATTTTTTTTCATTGAATGCTATAGTATTGGGCACTGTGTGGGTACTCAGTGGATATTTCTCAGCTAAAGTCCAATCATTGACAACATTCTACACACAATTTCAAGGGTCGTGAATAGCTATGTTTTCAATTTTCATTCTTCCTATTGGTATAATTTTGTATATAAGAGAAGCAGCATCGTGTGGTTAAGAGCATGGGTTTTGGAGTGTGCCCAAGTGTGATCTTGGGCAAGTTACTTAATCTTTCTGGGTCACATTTAGTTTTCACATTTATTTTAAAAATTAGATATAATATTACCTACTTCATAGGATTGCTTTAAGGATTGAATTAAATGTGATAATATATATAAAGCACTTAGCATGGGAGTTGGCACTTAGTAGGCATTCAGTATTTGTTAGATAATGATGTCACCCTCTTTTATTATTGTTACCTCACAGATCCTCAGTTCTAGCCTCTATTTCCTTGAAAACCTGTTCCTGGCATTTAACCTGTGTCTTTTCTATCAGGTTTGCAACTGTGCGATATGATCAAGGAGCCAAGAACATTCGGAACCAGTTCATGCATCTGACAAACTACAGTGTGAATAAGAAGAGTGGAGACTATGTCAGGTACAGGCCGTGTCTGAGCCAGAGTCAGAGAAGTCATTCTCAGATGTGGGTGTTGTAGAGGTGGAAAATTATCATGCTGCACTGAAGGATAGCTTTACTTTTATGTCCATGTAACATATCTCGCAAGCTGTCAAGAGTCGTGTAACAGTTTTGAGGTGTATCTGCTGCTGCTTCTCCATTGCTCTCCCAGGTATAGGTCACCTTTCTCTACCAAAATATGCCTTCACAAGCTGTGTCTTCCTCATTGTCTTCCCTCACTTGACTTAGGGGTGGGAATTTAATAGGCATATGGAACTTTTTAAAAGTCAAGAATGAGGTCATTTTAGCATTTGGCAAAACATATCAAAAGCTTTAAAAATATTTATTCCCTTTGACCCAGCAATTCTATTTCTAGGAACTTAACCTCAAGAGATAAAGGATGGGCCAGGCGTGGTGGCTCATGCCTATAATCCCAGCACTTTGGGAGGCCAAGGTGAGAGGATTGCTTGAGGCCAGGAGTTTGAGACCAGCCTAGGCAACATAGTGAGACCCCATCTCTATAAAAAATAAAAACAAATTAGCTGGGCATGGTGGTATGCGCCTGAAGTCCTAGCTACTTGGGAGGCTGAGGCCAGAGGATCGCTTGAGCCCAGGAGTTCAAGGCTACGGTTAGCTATGCTCATGCCACTGCACTCCAGCCTGAGTGACAGAGCAAGACTCTGTCTCTTAAAAAAAATAAATAAATAAAAAGGATATTGTTGGGGGAAAAAGCAGGTTACTAGACAGTACATGTGTCTTAATTTCTTGCTTGAATATATCAGGTATCTATTAATAAAGCTATTTATTTTTGCTGAGGGGAGAGAACAAAAAGATTAGAAGTAATACTGAAATGTTAACTGTGCTTAACTATGGTGGGTGGGATTGTAGGTAGGTGATTTTTATTTTCTTCTCTGTACTGTTACGGATTTTCTAAATATTTCTAAAACGAATACTTGTATGATCAGGGGGAAAAAAGTTAGGAAAAAAATTAGAGAAAAAAAGAAATGAGGCCATCTCAGAAAAGGATTTAGTGGAAGGGAGTACCAGCCCAGCTGTGTGGAAATATTCTTCTTGCTCTGTTTTCTTTCATCCCAATAATTTTGCCAGAAAATGGAAAAGTAAAAAAGAGACCCAAACAGCTACTTTCTACTCAGACTAAAAATAGGTGCCTAGCAGGTCCAAGGAAAGAAAGAAAGAAGAATCTGGAAGTGATGGAATAGTTGCCGAAGTTATATAGGTTTCACTGTGTATGCTGTGACCAGCGTTTGAATTGATTGAGGATATCGTGCCTTCACTTTGGAAGATGAGCAAAGGTGCAATGGTGGAGGGTGGAATAGTGGGAGGGAATGAGGGGGCAGCAGCTGTAAAACATAAGTTCCAGATTGTAGGACTCTTCCAGCATTCGTGGGAGGCTGCACCATTTGCCATTCTGCTGCTATAGCAGTGGTATACCTCATCACTCTTCCTGTCACTCCAATGTGTTCTCCCTTCAGTGATACCTCAAAAGGTATCAGAGAGGCGGGAGCTTGCTTCAGCTACTAAAGCAATTCCATGCTGAGTTAGGTTATTAAAATGCTGCACTAGATTAGCTCACTAGCCCATCCCAACTCTATTCTGGTCAAAAAATGACAACAGAGGTGGTTTTGTGGACTCATGTGACATTCACCTCCAAAGACTAGGTCTGTATGCTCAAGCTTTTCTATCTGTTAATTATTATAACCATTGTTAAATTAGTTTACATTCTTTCACACATTTCTTCCACTCTTTCATGATTGATGCACCATTGTTTGGTTAAGGAAGAATTTGCCTTCTTCTTCTCTACCCTCTTCAATAAGGCAAACTATATGCATTATCATTTCTATTGAAGAAATTGGTACAAAGGGATACATGACAAAAAGGACCAAGAAAAAAGTGAGTGAGTGGAATCAGCAAAGTGAATGCTTTTCTAAAGACTTTTAAAAGGACAAGAAGGCTGTTTGTAAAGAATGTTGTTTCTATAGCCAGGCATAGTTGTACATGTGACCTTGATTCATGAATTTGTTTTAGTTGTGATGATCCAGAAGTGGAAGATTATGGGAATAAATGGAGCATGAGTGCTATGCTTAGGTACCTGAAACAAGAAGGCAGAGACACAACTGGTGAGTACCAGGCTTTTTTCCTTCTTAACTATTCTTCTTTAACTTTATCGTTGTCTCTTGCCAGGATCATTCTCTCTAACTCTGATAGTGTTGCTGAGACATCCAGTGAGATGATTTTTCTTGGTGTTACATTTTCCTGTAGTTTACCAACTGGGGAGCAGGCTTTCCATGACTCCCAAAATCCCTTTTCTTATTTCTAGTTTGGAAGGCATAAGTTTTTCCTTTAATACTTGGAGAATTCTTCTTCTTGAATGTTGAACTGCTAACTAAGACACTGTCAGCTTTTTATGTAACAAATTGCCTGTCTCTGTATTGGCCCTGAGTTCAGATTTTTCTAAGTTAATCGCTCTCATTCATGTGGCTGAGTTGGAGAGTGAGCAGAGTTTGGGTACAGGGCTTAGAATCAAAGTGGACACCATTGCTGAGCCTTGAGCAGAAGGGGAAACTGTGTCCGAGAAGAGACTCTCTCAGTTCACAAGGGAAAGGGTAATAGGGGAAGCATGAGGAGGAAAGTAAGACTCCTGCCCCATTCTCTGCTTTTCTATTGTTATAGGAGGCCACCTGGGTGTATCCCTTGGCACCTATGTCCTTGACTGTGTTGGCCTGTTCACAGATAATGCCTGCCCTGGCAGCATGCATTCAGGAGACTGCCATACAGAGGCTTTTTTGAATGAGCACACCTGCTTTCATAATTATATTGTGACCTAGAATCCAGTCCTATTAATCTATGCATTTTAGTATTTCTTCCCTCATTTTTACTTTTTTTTTGCAGCATTAATGGCCCATGTAGAAGACCTGATCATTAAGACTATAATCTCTGCTGAACTAGCTATTGCTACAGCCTGCAAAACCTTTGTTCCTCATCGCAGCAGTTGTTTTGGTAAGGAGACTCAAGAAGCTTAACATGTTTTGTGAAGAGGGTCCTGGGAAGTTGGGGTGGGATTTTGGGGTAGAGAGACTTAGTGATTCTATAGGAGTAAGAGGTATATGATGGCCTTTTATTTCTCTCTAAGCTCATATAGCATATGAAGAGCCTACTAAGAGACCAGTATTGAGCTTAGCTGGAAATTACCCCTGAGGAGTAGCTAGCTTTCTGTGTGGGAAGCAGGGATTGGAACTAAAGCGTGGCTCTTTCTGTCAGAGTGCAGTCAGAAAAAGTCTGCAAACGGACTGTACAGGAATCCAGCTTTAACAAATATATTCCAGAGCTCTTTGGCAGCCAGACTTGGAACTCTTCCAAGAAGCTCTGGCTGGTACCAGTATGTGCTTTCTCCCATTTTCCGATGATTCCTCCTTTTTGTTTTAGTCTCCTTTCCTAGTGGGTTTCTCCCCCTCCTCCTCTCCTTCTCCCTCTCCTTCCCTGCTTTCTCCTCTTTCTCTTCCTCCTCCCTTCCTTTTCTACTCCACCCCCAGCTCCCTGATTGCACAAAGAAGGAGTAATAAGCAGTTCACAACCACTGGGTCAGGAAACCTGTTACCTACTGACCCACTAGCTGTGCCTGTGGCACTGAGGGAGCCTGTGTACATTTGCTTTCCACATGGATTTGAGCTGGGTAGTGATTGCATATGTGAATGTCGGCAAAGTAACATAGGTTTTCAGCAGGTGTTAGGCTTTTTAGTAAAACACACTAGGGTCATTAATGGGGAGGATGATTTAAACATGGCATGGAGTAATACAAAGAGCAAGGATGTAAGAGCCATGGCTTACTTAGAAGGCAGGATAACAGGAAAATAAAGAATATGGGCTTTAGAGCCTGACAGCTTTAGTTTGAAACTCATTTGCACCCCTACCTAGTTTGGTAATTTTCAGCAGTTTACTCGAATCTCGTTTTCTCAACTATAAAACAGCAGTAATGATGGTATGTACCTCCTAAGAGTACCATGAAGATCAAATGAGATGCTGCCTGCAAAGAAAGCACTTGGCACAATATCTGGCCCCTAAGTTTGTACTCAATAAAAATCATTTTTTATTGTTTTTATAATTAGACATTATAATTCTTGATCTCTTTAATGGATTATCAATCATAATGAGTCTGTACTTAAGGGGCAGTAAACAAAGGGAATTGTTGAGACTGTAAATAGAAGATGGTACATAAATCAGGATCTAAAATTATATAGGAAGAGGTTGTAATATCTTTCTAAAATGTGTATCTGTTCACATCTTCTAAAATTCTTAAATGGCTCCCTAGACTTGAATAGTATAATGGAAACTTGATACAACCTTCAAGGCTTCTAAGGATTTGTTCCTAACTGAATTTCCTAGAATTCTGTTTCCATCTTATACTTTATAATCTAATTATACATTACTGTACATCTGAGCACTCTGTGCTTTTGTGCCTTTATGTCATTTCTGCTGTTTGGGTAGAAAACTCTCCTCTGTCTGCCTTGCATGCTCCTGTTTCTTTTCTAAGACTCAGCAACACATTGTCTCTTCTAGGAAGTCTTGCCTAACAAAGTACCCTGTTGCGACTGCTTCCTCATGCTCTTCCGTCCTTGTTTTATAATATTCTTTTCCTGTTGCATTGTGATGTTTTGTTTATACACATACTTCCCCAGTAGTAGTCTCTGAGCTTATTTTCTTGAATTCTCAATAGTCACTGTGTCCTCCCTTCCCATCTCACCCTATTCTGCCAAACTATACCTTTCACCATTTCCCTGGACCTCCCAGGTCCTTTTCTCACCCTTTGCATTTGCACCTATTTTATCCTGCATTTGAAATGCTTTTCTCATGTTACTTGACCTAGTAGATTACTGACATCTTTTGAGACAAAATCAAGTATCACTTCTTTGGTGATGTTTTTCCTAACTCTGCCTGTCATAGTTAGCCTCCCTCACCCTCTACCCTCAGCACTCTGTTCATAACTCTGCAGTAGTGTCTGCATGTCATCTGGAATCCATTTATGTTTCTGTCTCCTCTACTGGACTGGAAGCTCCTGGTGGACAGTATTTCACCATTCCCATGCATGGCAGCGTGTTTTGCTCTTAGAACATGTTCAAGAAATGTTTGTTGAATGAATGATTGGTACTTGGTTTAGTTGCCTTTTGGTGGCCTGACAGAAGGCTTCCCAGTGGATCTGGGTAAGGACTAAGAGCTTAGAATTACTGCAGATTGTTTGAGGATGGGGATGAGGGGACTAGGAACATAACTCCAACTTCTAAAACCTTATTAGATTAAAACAAAAGTTAAAAGTTTCTTTTCTGCATCTACTTGGCTCTTATATGAAAATAATTTCTGGTAGCCCTTGGTGTAAAAATCTTTGTTCTGTATAGTTAATTATAAAAGCTTTTCTGAATGTTTCCTTTTCTATTTTGTTTTATAACCTGATTGCCTTTTGGAAGCTGAGGAATTTATTGAACTTAATGACAATAGAATGTTCTGATGTGAAAGAAAGCAGTGACTTTCTCTGACTCAGTGAAATACCCCCTAAGTCCATTTCATCAGCCATGGGTCTCCTTTCTCCCTCCCTACTTGTGTTCAATTTTAATAAACTGAGTGCATCTGGAGTTTTTTAAGTTGTTGACTGCCTTCTTGGCTTTTGTGGTTCTAATTCCACTTCCTGTGAGCCCTGGGATTTTGTGTGCTTAATTGCCTGTCTCTGTATTGGCCCTGAGTTCAGATTTTTCTAAGTTAATCGCTCTCATTCATGTGGCTGAGTTGGAGAGTGAGCAGAGTTTGGGTACAGGGCTTAGAATCAAAGTGGACACCATTGCTGAGCCTTGAGCAGAAGGGGAAACTGTGTCCGAGAAGAGACTCTCTCAGTTCACAAGGGAAAGGGTAATAGGGGAAGCATGAGGAGGAAAGTAAGACTCCTGTCCCATTCTCTGCTTTTCTATTGTTATAGGAGGCCACCTGGGTGTATCCCCTGGCACCTATGTCCTTGACTGTGTTGGCCTGTTCACAGATAATGCCTGCCCTGGCAGCATGCATTCAGGAGACTGCCATACAGAGGCTTTTTTGAATGAGCACACCTGCTTTCATAATTATATTGTGACCTAGAATCCAGTCCTATTAATCTATGCATTTTAGTATTTCTTCCCTCATTTTTACTTTTTTTTTTGCAGCATTAATGGCCCATGTAGAAGACCTGATCATTAAGACTATAATCTCTGCTGAACTAGCTATTGCTACAGCCTGCAAAACCTTTGTTCCTCATCGCAGCAGTTGTTTTGGTAAGGAGACTCAAGAAGCTTAACATGTTTTGTGAAGAGGGTCCTGGGAAGTTGGGGTGGGATTTTGGGGTAGAGAGACTTAGTGATTCTGTAGGAGTAAGAGGTATATGATGGCCTTTTATTTCTCTCTAAGCTCATATAGCATATGAAGAGCCTACTAAGAGACCAGTATTGAGCTTAGCTGGAAATTACCCCTGAGGAGTAGCTAGCTTTCTGTGTGGGAAGCAGGGATTGGAACTAAAGCGTGGCTCTTTCTGTCAGAGTGCAGTCAGAAAAAGTCTGCAAACGGACTGTACAGGAATCCAGCTTTAACAAATATATTCCAGAGCTCTTTGGCAGCCAGACTTGGAACTCTTCCAAGAAGCTCTGGCTGGTACCAGTATGTGCTTTCTCCCATTTTCCGATGATTCCTCCTTTTTGTTTTAGTCTCCTTTCTAGTGGGTTTCTCCCCCTCCTCCTCTCCTTCTCCCTCTCCTTCCCTGCTTTCTCCTCTTTCTCTTCCTCCTCCCTTCCTTTTCTACTCCACCCCCAGCTCCCTGATTGCACAAAGAAGGAGTAATAAGCAGTTCACAACCACTGGGTCAGGAAACCTGTTACCTACTGACCCACTAGCTGTGCCTGTGGCACTGAGGGAGCCTGTGTACATTTGCTTTCCACATGGATTTGAGCTGGGTAGTGATTGCATATGTGAATGTCGGCAAAGTAACATAGGTTTTCAGCAGGTGTTAGGCTTTTTAGTAAAACACACTAGGGTCATTAATGGGGAGGATGATTTAAACATGGCATGGAGTAATACAAAGAGCAAGGATGTAAGAGCCATGGCTTACTTAGAAGGCAGGATAACAGGAAAATAAAGAATATGGGCTTTAGAGCCTGACAGCTTTAGTTTGAAACTCATTTGCACCCCTACCTAGTTTGGTAATTTTCAGCAGTTTACTCGAATCTCGTTTTCTCAACTATAAAACAGCAGTAATGATGGTATGTACCTCCTAAGAGTACCATGAAGATCAAATGAGATGCTGCCTGCAAAGAAAGCACTTGGCACAATATCTGGCCCCTAAGTTTGTACTCAATAAAAATCATTTTTTATTGTTTTTATAATTAGACATTATAATTCTTGATCTCTTTAATGGATTATCAATCATAATGAGTCTGTACTTAAGGGGCAGTAAACAAAGGGAATTGTTGAGACTGTAAATAGAAGATGGTACATAAATCAGGATCTAAAATTATATAGGAAGAGGTTGTAATATCTTTCTAAAATGTGTATCTGTTCACATCTTCTAAAATTCTTAAATGGCTC